TGCATGACACAGCGAAGGAAGGGTACGGCACATGAAACACGCCGTCCGCATGATGCATCCAAAGACGACTGCGCATCTGAAATACGTCTGCATGACGCAGCAAGACGAGAAGGGCATCTAAAACACGCGACCTGCATGACACATCGAAAGACGGGCAGGGCACCTGAAAACACGTCATCTGCGTGACAAATTCAAACAACCAGAAGGCATGTGGAACACGTCTTCGATCGGATCGGACCGGAAACTGTACAACGTGGGTTGTTCAGACTGAGTTCAGACACCGACTTACATGAAGTCATCTACGTTCGTCAGGTTCATAAGCTTTATCACTGCGACGGAATACCCCCTTTCATGAGTTTGACAGGCAGAAGTGCGCAAATGTTTAGCGTTCGTGCACACTGCATCAGCGCAAAAATAACATGGCTGGAAAATGTATCGCCTCTGAGCCAGGTAGGACATGACAACTGTAATACGCGAAGCTCAGAAACAAGGAACGGCCTACAGCTTTGGTGACTGCCACCAAAATATCGAGTAAAACGCCCACATTTTAATTGGATACTGGCCACAATACAGCGACCTATCTGTCCATGCCTTTTCATGACGCCATTTCTCCTGGTTTAGACCAAAGCAAGTTATATGAGGCCGGTTTCGGGAAAAGGCGGCATTGGTGGATCCGCTGTCGGTTGCTGACTATGGCTCGCACAGCGCTGAAACCTTTGGCGATTGATGGCATGCTTTCACCGTGCGTCCGTTTCACATCTTCCTCTGATCTGGTTACCAAATCTGAGACAAATGCTAAACATAAACATTCAGCAATGGGTAGAGCCATGGTTTGCCATGGTTTGCACGTTAGCGTGCGAGCGGATGCACACCTCAAACCACACCTTGGCCACACGACCGTCCATTCTCTCTTCCCTGAATGTGGTGGTCTTACTGCTGTTCAACACCGGGTCGTCAAGCTAGACTTTGCCGTGTACTTCAGATGTTTTTGAAGGTTGACTAGCAAACGTTTCTCACGTTAATCAAATGGGAAGGACATAGTCCGTTCAAATTGCAACATTGCAGAATTCACCCCGAAATACCGACTGGTAAGCAAATACCCCGAGCTGCATGTGGCACAACTTTTAAAGAATTGCATTTGTTTACCGTCAATTGCAGGGAGCCATGAGTCTAGCGATTGCGAATATAAATAACATCTTCTAGACAGCGTGGCAGCAGAATCGGGCCGACACGAGCTGGGCCGGGCAGGTAATTAATGTCATCATGGCCCCAGTAAGAATGCCTGGGAATGCCGCCCTGCTTGTAATCATCTGATTTGAGCACACATGTTGCGCATGGCACTCATGACCGCAAAATGAGCCTGTTCGAGCGTTTTCAAGGGAGTATCCCAACTTCGTGGCATATATCAAAGGCATATTCTAGTGAAGCCCTAGGACCATTCTCGTCTAATGATAGCACTGGGTAGTGCCATTGCAGCCCGTCAGACCACAATAAGGTTGTCAATCATAATTATATTCGAGTCCAAATTACGTTGTCAACGTTTTGTAACAGCACTACACTTCTTCCCAGTTGCCGGGACTACTTTCGTCATGACAACCGCCGTGCATCTCTACTGGTGCGCATAAAAGCACGTCTCTGATTGGCCCAGCGGCGGCAACGGCCCGTTATCGAGAGGCGCATTGGTTAAACTTTGAACCAGTGCGGTGTCATCATGGACCACGTGATACTCCCATTGCCAAAGCCATAGTGAGCCTCGAAAGAGTATCCGTGGTAAACGCCATAAGACAGAGATCCAAAGTCATAGCATAAGGTTTCCCTGAATTCGCGGGATAATAGCTTCATGTTCGCTTATCTTTTGGTCTGAACAGAATAAACGCGGCGTACTCCATTTAACGCGCTGTCCATGAACATTTTGTTTAAAGGGTTATAAGGATGAGACCCAAAATAGATACTCGTGGATGTGCCTCTATTCATAAGAGACAGATGGGTAATAATGTCACAGCGCTACCAACTTCTTACTTGTAGGCACAGACGACATTTCTCGGTTGCGCACCATCGTGTCTCCCACACGGTAGCTGTCAAATAATCTGCAAGTTCCAAATGTATTCAACTTGAGCTACTGAGACGGTAAATAGGGCCAGGGAAGCGAGTCGGATGGTGGGGCCGTGGAAGCGGGAAGCTGACCATGTGGAAATGGGACCTGGACACAATCAGACGACAAGGCGGCACAGCGGGCCAATCAGAGAACGAGGCAGCACAGAGGACCAATCAGAGGACAAGGCAGCACAGTGTGCCAAGCAGACTGTCAGGTGAGTCCGGGATCAAGAGACTGTTAACTAGGCCATGAAAACACCGAACGGGCGGTGGCAGGAGGGCTCCTTGGGACAGCAAAGGATTCTGCCATATGAGAACGTCCTGAAACGATCGTGGGACTTGCAGACATGGAATGTCCAGCAGGCAATCAGTTAAACTGCCGGCTAACTGCGCAACCAGACAAAGAGGACTGGATGATCAAGGGGACGCCGTGGTCGGGTAGGTGTACTTTTACTTCATAAGACGAATACTTTAACAGAATGCTTCACATTTCACGATATTAAAGCAAGCCTGAGATATGATAAGATAAGCTCACTTATAACAATTTGTGGGTGGAACAGACTGCAAATGACAGCACAATTCTCTGTTTAGTAAACACAGTCCTCAATGCACCATGGCTTGTTTACGACATCGTACCTTGCACAACATTGATTGAGAGCCAATCGAGGGCCGTTATGTCTGGAAATCGCGCTCACGAACGCCAAATATGAACGCCACGAACATTACGTTTTTCTTCGCCTTGATCGTCGTATGGCTTATGGAATGGGCAGATCTGAATGACAATATTGTGACGTCATGAACGCCAAGGTCACTTTGAAATACTCTTCGATACACCTTTTCCCATTTTCGCGGACGTGTAGCTCAGAAACTTGAGGGGCTTAGGTCTTAAAAATGGTAGAATTGTGAACAGCACCGAAAGGTCTTCAAGATGGCTATTTCAGTTCAAAACCTCACATAAATGTGGAACACTCCCTTTCACACTGGTACCGACAACATTAACAAATTACTAATAGGCATATGTACGTATCGTTATTATGGTATGGTATGGTACGTATGGTAATTATATATACATATGGTTATTCCAAATAATGATAAGCGAGAATACTTACCTGTTACGTTGCATTTTTAATCGTCTTCAGGTAGCCAGTGTCTTCCAAAATGAGCAATTGATATAGATTCATATAATGCATACGGGCGATGGACACCCGGAGATTCTGAGCACGTCTGGCTTTCCGGTGAGGGAGTCACGCACAGCAGGGAATTGCTTCCATGTGGACAGATATAGCGCACCGCCGAATACGTGTATACTCTGACAGTTACGACGGACAATATCGTTAGAGATTGGGGAAAGACTGAAAACTTGAAGAAAAAAGACACTGCAAGCCTCTGGCAACACTTCTTTGGAAACCAGTGCCCATCCGTTTGGTTCGTGCCTCGACGAGTCTCGCCTTGCCCGTCCATCGGCCTATGAGTGACTGTCTCGGGGCTCCTCAGGCGCCCAACGGTCTCGCAGGCATATCAGAAGACCGCGAGTGCTGTGAGGTTACAACTGTGAGAGGAATTAAAGGCTCTTACCGCTTACTGGCCAAAACCTTGCTGGGGTCAATTTGCCGCGTCATGGCCCCTGGCCATTTTTGGCACCCTCGATTATCCCATGTCTGACCGAGCGCGCGACATCACATCTTTTTGAGGGGCGTTCAAACGTTCGGTGACACGGACTCCGGGACTTTAAACCTTAAGGACCTACACCATTTAGGACCTGACGTCGATGCCAAAGCCCTGGTTACGCCGTTTTGGGGAAAGCTCGTTGAACTGCTGACGTCGCTGCAACGAATTGAAATAATTAGCCGAACATGATTTGCGCGTACATGATTTGGTTTTCAGTCGGGTCGAAGTCGGTTTGGTGGCAAAAATTCACCCAAAGACCCCTACAGGAAGCATCCCACTTAAAATGGATACAGGCTCCGGTGGCGTATGGTCCGACGTCACATGGCTCATCCCACTGCCCGTTTGCCGGCTGGGTGCACTGACCGACTCTGGTCAAGGTCACATCAGCCTCAGCAGTGGGCAAACCCAAGGCATCCACCTATGATATGCTGGGTTGGTGACAAAGCTTGGGTCAATTGGCTGGACTATGGCTTATGAAGAAAACTGCTATTTTCTACATTTCTTTGCTGTTATAGCATTTTTGCATTTTCATTGTATTTTTACAGGATCATACCCTCAGGCACCTCAAGTTCCCAGGTCATGCCACCATGGAATGACATGCAATTTAATGACTTAACATACATTGACAATGGTAGGTTTCACCCTGCTCATGCTACTGCAAGCAGTACATTTTCAGCAGTGGAAATATGGAGGCATCATTTTTCCAGTACACTTTTAAATGACAGTCCAGCCCTGTTTGTTATGGAAAACCATTTGGACAGGTCAAAAATAATAGAAAACATATCAATGTGCTGTGGTGATTTTAACATGGCCTGTGATCATGTGCTGTATGTTTCTGTGTGTATGTGTAGGCCTTAGTTGGCCTTAGTTAGTTAGTTAGTAGGCCTTAGTTAGTAGGCCTTAGGCCAACTCCTATGTTGGGGCAGCTTGGCAAGCATAGGGATGGAGATTAGTCAATTTGACTGTTGAGTGCATTATCACACATTCTACAATAATAAACTTATTAAAAGCACAGTGCATCATCACATGGCATGGTAATACCACAGCAGCTCACAAGCATGTTTGCCATAACTTGCTGACTGGTCCAAATAGTTTCCCACAAAAAACGGGCCTGACCTGTCATTTCACAGTGTACTGTAACAATGATGCTTCCATATTTCAACCTCTGAAAATGCTCTGCTCGTAGCAGCTTGCATGAGTGACACCTTATCACCATAAAAAATTTAGTGCACACTCACCTTCAGAAAGCAAGCCTGTAGTCAGCCTTTCGGTGTCCCCTTCTTGGCACGTGCTTATGTTCCAGAATTTGGCGTGACAAGATTATCACATGTAGGCAACAAAAATCGGGTTACAACATCCGTAAGCATTCACACAGCTACCCGTACCCTTTTCAACAAAATCAGCAGTCACATTTCCCTTAACACCAACCAACTAGTCGGCAATCCCAGGTACTGCCGGGCTTCTAGATATGCCATGAACGCAAACGCAAGGCACTGTTGATACGTGTCACCTGCGCAGCAATGACTCACAATTTGTGCGTAGCAGGAACTTTAAATAATACAAGCAGCGTTTTCAGGGACGCATCTCCTGCCAATGCTCTTTTAATGCTTTTCGCCAATTTGGCAGCACTGTTCCTTCCTTAACGGCTCACCCAGCGCGTTTCTCTTTGGCTCCAGTTGTGCAATCAATCTAGACAGAGGATAAAGGCATATGGGATCGACTCAGGCATTGCACCGAGGAGTACCGAGACCCACCCCGATGTCAACGCTTGCACAGGTCATGTGTCCTGATGAGTCGATGTACGCGATATTCCAAGTGCAATTCGCATGCATGCAAGTGGATTTTGATCGCCACGTGTGTTGCTCGCTCAGTGCCATATAATATGTTATAGTTCATCCCGGATGCGGCTCAGTTGTACTGAGCCACATCAACGATGATCTCGATTAGCACGATAGACTTCCCCCGACTGCGACTCAAGGACATAGAATCCAGTCGATTCCGTCCTTACCTTACGCATTATTGGTTCCTTTACGGATCGACTTCGATTCCGTCTGAGGGTTTAAGTCGGCACAGCCTCCCCAATAACTTGTAGCCTGAAAACACTTAACAAGAGCAGAGCTGACAATAATTCTAAGCAGCACTGCTGCCAAATACAAGACACTTTACATAGGGCATCAGATCTCGCTCACACCTGTCACACTGCTCTCCTTTTGCATCCATTTCCACCCCGCCGCACACCAATGACGACCCTACGGGGCGTTCCGTTTACATACACGCCATCGCACCAAGTGGGCGTCACATAAACAATAGCACTGGCATTAGCCTGGCATGTACATAGCACACGTTTCATGCCCAAGATGGCTTTACCTAGCACCCAAGCAGGCGAGCCTGTGGTTCCAGGCTGCAGCACCACGGCTCTGCCCTTCGGTGGAATTCTTCGCCAAACCACTTCTCATCTATGGAGTGGGAACGCACATCATAATATGCAAGTTGTCAGCCACCAGCTCAGCAATTACCTTTCTGGTCACTAACTGGGCCCATTGCCCCTGCAGCTATCAACTGCTAGCTGCAGGGCCCACCGCGGAAATTTCCTTCATGTGCATTTCAAACACAAACCACAACAAAATGTGTATTTATTTGTACAGTCGTCCACCTCCATAGGTCCAGCGGGCGTAATCACAGCTTGCCGGCCTCCTGAAGCGATTGGCGCGCCATCTGAAGCACACTCCTGTGACTGGTCGCGCCGCCTATAAAGCCAGACGCGTGCACGAACACGCCATCGTCGATGCCGGCCTCCTTGGAGAGCTGCTCGCCGCGCAGACCCCGCCAGCTCGCCTTCAGGGGTACTCTGAGGGCGGTGGGCGTGTCAGCGAGCCGCGCAGACCCCGCCAGCTCGCCTTCAGGGGTACTCTGGGGGCGGTGGGCGTGTCAGCGAGCCGCGCGAGAGCTCGCCGACGCTCGACTACGGCCATCTCGCGCTTAGCGTCACGGGCGCGAGAAAATTGACCGATCATTATCACGTTCCGTGTCACACACGGGACGCAAAGCGGCGGCACCCCGTCTGAGAACAGGCACGGGTGACACAGGTGCACTTTTCGCAAACTCCCTCGCATGCATCATCACGTCCTCCCTGGCACCAACCTCATGTCGAAGGAGCCGGTGAAGGGTGGCACCGCCTGCACGCGCCACTGGCCCTGCTGGTCCGTAAACAGCACGAACATGACCTGGCACGGCGGTTGCTGCTCCTGCTCCAGCACAAACAGGTGGTCTTTCCAGGGCACGCCGCCCTTCGGCAGCTCCATGATGAGGCCGCTCGGGTCCACCTGCGGTCCACCGGTCACCGGCCGTTGGTGCAAGGCATCCACGTCCCCGTACCCAGTACAGTACAAAGTACAAGAACGGGCGCTGAAGCGCGGTACGCCGGTCACAGATCGGTCAGCGCGAGTGCCTGTCACATGCCATATTTGTACCAATGAATACTGATTGCTCTGAGCTTGTTACAGTTGGACTTCTTCACATCTTATGCTGCAAAGGCTATGTACAGCACGTGATGATTCCCCAAAGAACAGACGAGACCTCGCCGAAGAAGCGCCCAAACTTGTCCACGCGTGAGGCAACGCCAAACGGCTTGGTCGATTTCAGAAAAAAATGACAGCCTTACCATTCTGGCACGACCTGTAAGCCAATGATGGCAATGTAGCAGCTCCCGCAGCATGTCTCCTTCCCTGTGCTCCTCGTCTGGTGCCGATCGGTGACAGCCTGCTCACCTGGTGCCGATCAGTGACAGCCTGCTCACCTGGTGCCAGTCGGTGTCGGCCTGCTTCATGAGGAGTCGCCCTGCTCACCTGGTGCCGGTCGGTGGCGGCCTGCTCACCAGGTGCAGGTCGGTGGCGGCCTGCTCCCCTGGCGCCGATCAGTGACAGCTTGCTCACCTGGTGCCAGTCGGTGTCGGCCTGCTTCATCAGGAGTCGCCCTGCTCACCTGGTGCCGGTCGGTGGCGGCCTGCTCACCTGGTGCTGGTCGGTGGCGGCCTGCTCCCCTGGTGCCGATCGGTGGCGGCCTGCTCCCCTGGTGCCGGTCGGTGGCGGTCTCCCCACCTGGTGCCGGTCGGTGGCGGCCTGTTCGCCTGGTGCCAGTCAGTGACAGTCTGCTCACCTGGTGCCGGCCGATGACGGCCTGCTCCACCAGCCGGCGGGCCGGGTACCAGACGGTCCAGATGCGCTGCACGGCGTCCGTGAACTCGGCCGTCACCAGCCGCCGCGCACGCTCGAAGCACGCCGCTTCGTCCGGCTGCGTGTCATTCCACGCCGGGTTGAGGCGGGACACGCGTGCGCCGATCGTCGAGTTCACCTGGTACCTGCGACACCGACGACCAGGCAGTCAGGCCAGCCTGGTGGCCGTGGAGGCCGTCACTGGGCCGGCGGCACGCGCTGTGTGGAGGGGGGGGGGGGGGAGGGGGGGCGGGACAACCAGCGGAAGTTAGGCAACATTACATCTGCAGCAATGGGTTGAATGAAAGGAATACTGGACAAGCAAACATTGGACAAGAGCATTATCTAAGACATTCTATGCATGCAGTCTTAGTGTGGCGTGTCATGGTCAGCCCATATGAATCACGAAAACGTGAGTTTTAACCAATCAACGCAAATTTCGCGTGCTGTCCAATCGATACAGTTCTCTCGGACTAGGCGGAACCGTACATTCTGACCCATCCGTGCCAATTCCGACGACGGCACATAACCAATGACAACTCGGCGGATCCGGCCCCTCCGCGCCAACCCACACGAGTCCCGAAGCCGACCCGCTCCGAGCGCCCCGCCCGCGCCCACCGTGGCGTGCCGTCATGCTGGTTGACGCCGTTGTCCACGGCGTCGATCTCCTCCATGAACGTCTGGTAGAGCCGGTCGAACACGACCTCTCGGTGCTCGCTGGCCGCGGGGCCCAGCTGGGTGTCGAGCACGTCCCGTCCGAAGTGGTGGAAGATGAGGCCGGCCGAGCTCAGGCGCGTCACCCACGGCTTGGCGCCGGCCGTCAGCGAGCGCATGCTCTCCGAGAAAGACCTGAAGCCAACAGACGGCTCTCGTGCCGGTCACACGCGCCCGCTGACGGCGTCACGACATGCAGCCACGACTGAGACATGAGACACAAATGGAGAACAGACAACTGTGCTGACAGGGGTGGAGTTTTGTACCCCCCCCCCCCTCCCCCTACAGCCTTACTCCAAATGATTTCCCTGCTCTTTAAAATGGGACTCAAAAAGCTGACAAAAAACAACAGAGATGCATTACACCCCCAAAAGTGTGTTATCTGAAAGTCTGAACCCATCTCCATGCAACCCATGAATCTTATAAAGCTTTGACAATGTGCAGTGTCAAATATAATATAGTGAGTGAAAAATATAGACATCCATAGGTTGCTGAGTGGGCAAGAGTCTGTCATATTATCATAGCACTAACTTTTGGTGGTGGTCATATCGGTGCAGCTCAGGGTTGTAGACAGCACCAACGTCAACAACAATATCACACTCCCTTAGAACAGCTTCATCACGGGACCTGAAACAGCAGTTTTTGTGACATCCTAAGCATACTCCAAGTGATAGAAACTATATGCGTAAACTGTGACGTTACAATGTAGTCACATAGCTAGTGAAATTATTCCAGCAACAGGGCTAAGCTTTCAGACACGTTTCACCAATCTCTTCCATGAACACTGCTAGTTGTAAGGAAACCTCAGATGCTTAAGATGGCTGCATGTTCTGCATTTAGCAATGAACCCACAGAGGTCTATAACTTAGCTTGAACAATGACTATTAACCAAAAACAATTGATCATTCACCAAATGTAGCCCGTGACAAGCCAAACATTGAAAGTGGGGCACAAATGGGTACATAGAAGAAAAATTGCAACTAAAAGTATTGACAGACCTGACAACTTCAGCTTCATGACACTCAGGTAACATCTTGAGCATTGAGACAGCCAGGACTTCATCACAATGGAACATGCCATTGTGCGTTCCAATTTTTTGCACAGCTTTCTTGAATTTTTTAGTTTCTCCTGTCATGATTCTTGCTAGAAAGAAATCCAATTTAATGACTGCATGCCACTCAATATACCTGGTATGCTGAACATAACTGGTATACACTGGGTCTACAGATAATACTAATGGAAAGCAGTACTAGCTAACAAACACATGTGATTTATATCTATAAATAGGGTATGCATATCACATCACACAAGCATCACATTACAAAAGTTAGGAACTGCTAAACATCTCACATTGTTGTCATTAAGACAGTTAAGCCACCAAAACACTTAAACTCACATGAGATACAACAAAATTCAAATACACACCTATGGTACAGCTTTTCTTAATGAGTTAAGATGCAAAGAGTCTTGAGCACCATAAGCCACTGGCAGAAACAGTAAAAGGAACTCATCATAACAGATAGAGCTAGGTGACATGGTCATAAGACAATACCACAGCTGGCTGTCATACAATGAGGCAAATCAAACATGAGATCTGTGCAGGTTTGAGCCGCATCATGCCTTGCGGTAGCCTAAATCCAGCCAAACTTAGCTTGGTGCACCTCCTAGTTAGGATTCCTCTGAAGCCACATATGACTATGAAGATGGCTTGACCACTACACTACTATAATCCACAAATCAAATACACATTGTATTACACATATTTAGAGACAACATTTTGAATTGGACAACCCAGTGCACATTTTCTGTGGCACATCATTAAGTCGCATAGGGACTTTGTTGTTGTTTATTGGTGTTTTCAGGCGCATCAACTCCAATGGTCATTTTGTGCCCATCTCATAGGGACTGATGACGTTCAGCAAGTTGTATGTAATTATCATAAATCTGACAATGGGTTTCTGAAAATGTTCTTGATAAAGCTTCAAAATATCACAGATATCTTAATTTGTCCCGCTATGGAACGCATAAATGGAAAATTTTGCAGTGTTGTCTGCTGGACGCGATGCTGAACAGGACCTACATGGAGGGAAGCACCACTGTCACCGAATATTCATCTGTCAAATAACCGAATCACTCGCCCAAAATGACGCACACTGTCCTTGATGCCACCCCTTCCCCAATACTCCTATGTCACACTGGCAGCTAACCGGGTTACACCAACACCCATCCGCGTGGCCCGCGCACAACCAACCTACGCGGAAGTGCCACATGCTTTATGTTATAATTTTTCACGGTAAGAGTACCGCAATATGAGTGATGTTCGCTCGTACACGTACCTGCAATTATCGCTCACATTTCACGAATCACAGTACGAACTTCAGCGCTGATAACCCTGTCATCACTATGAATGGGCAGACTTTTGAAACCCCTTTATGTATCTGGTTTTCAAAGCTGATTCTGAACAAAAAAATTCGTGAGCACGGTTAAGACAGTTGTGGCGCTATTGGGACATAATCGAGCCGGGCTGATGCTGTAAAGCGCCGGACTTGACTGCGAGGCTGTCCGGTGCCGTATGTGGCGGGTCGTATAAGTCGTGAAAGCCATATGTCATATATATGTAATGACATGACTTATATGAGTCATATTTCACACACTTAATATTGTGGGTTGACTCCAGAAATACAAAGTATATGTAGTGTCTGGAGATTTTACCATGTGTGAATGATAGCCCAGGCTTGTCCGTGAAATAATTGACTGAAAGCTGGGCGAGATCTTGCAATTGAGCAAGGAGTATTTGATCCCATTCAGTAGACCTTAAGATAATTTTGAAGGTGACAGTTGTCAAGTAAGATTTATTTTGAATATATTTGTTGTTACATACCTTCCTCAAAATCGAAAAGCACAAATGTAGAATGGGCACCAGATGCCCTACATGACCAGCATTCATTGGTCACATTTATTGAATTTATTAACACTGGCTGGCATATGGTGTCTGTTTTATACTGGAATTTTTTGGATCTGTGAGCAACATCTGTGTTTTAAAATTCAGTCAAGGTGCATCTTGCTAGCAACTTTCATGCATGCAATCATTGCAATGAGATTATTCTGGTTATATTGAAAACTTGTAGTCCTTTATATGGCTGTATACCTGACTCATTGCAATTATCTTCCATAGAATTGAGCTAGGATGAAGTTCACACTTCACAAGTTTTGTGGGCAAAATGTCTGCATTTGGCAATGACCACATGGCTCTGCCACAGGTAGGGCAAAAATGGTCCACCCCTTAAAAGCATTTTTGGGGGTTGCCTGCTGCTCTCACCTATCGCATGGCATGGTGACATGAAATTGATGTGTGGGGTTAGTTTGGCTGCCAATTTTTACCACATCTTGCAGATTGGATGCGGCATGCATGCAAATTTAACTTGTAAATGATTCATGTGTCCAGAGCTGGTAAAAAACATGGTGCTTTTGTTATCTGTATTTGTAGGATATTGTATGGCATGTATGCAAGCTCCATCGCTACAGAACATGTGATGACCTTTGCACTGCATGCTGGAACACTATCAGGTAATATTGGCCCATTGTATTGGCTTGTGTACAGGCCTTGCCTTTGAAGGCCACTGGTCACATGCTTTGTGCATGTCATGGCATTTGATATGCCTGTTATCAGCAAGTGAGCACAAGATGGCCTTTGTGAAGAACTGGTGGACAACAGATTATGCAGAAGATATTTTCACATATTTCCTTTGGAAGGAGAAAAACACCATTTCATTTCGAGGTAGATCACCTCAGGTGAGGCTGGGGCAGTCAGGAACTTGTTTGTCTGCATGTCCAGTTTGAGTCCCTGTGTTTGGCGGGAGGCGGAGGGAGGGGGGGGGGGGGAGGTGAATGCTCGTGGGCCAAGCTTCTCTCTGGGCTGTCATCGGAGATGTCCGGTCGATTGCGTCCACTGTGGCCAGCCGAGAACACGCTGGAAGCTCGATACGGGAAGCCCATCCAGCACAATCACGTCGACCTGTTGGCGTGCGTTTGGCGCCAGCTGGGCGAGCGGCGCCGACTGGTGGACATGATCCGGGAGCTGGGCGAGCGGCTGCGCCTGGGCAACACCTCGGTCCACCTGGCCATCCGACTGCTCGACGTCTTCATGGACAACCATCGCGTGGAAGTGCCGCACTTGGGCCTGGTGGCGCTCGGTTGCCTGCTGCTCGCCAGTCAGTGCTCTATTGCCAGGCTGCCCCCTAACCACCCCACCGTGTGGTGGTGAGCTCTAACTGTCTGCGGTGGTGACGGTTGCACGGTAGTGGTTAGTACTATTGGGGCTGCAGGCCAGGTTGGTCTTAACGCCAGTCAACGAGGAATGGTGTAGCTTCAGCGTCCGGACCAGGCCGCGTGGCGGGCGTGTATCTGTTCCATCGTAATGTGAACATGTTTCATTGGAGCTGTTTGATCAGGCGTGGATCCATGTAGCTGGCAGCATTGCATGATCGTGAGCATTCGGCCCTCTCTTTTGGGTTAACACGGAAAGCGAAGCAGAAATTGCGAAAAAGCTCAAGCGCGGGGGGTCCAAGTTGGTTCGAAGCATGATCAAAGCCACACGAGACCAACGCATTTCGACAAAAAGAGATGGAGCAATAGTGCGGTCAGAAACGTGATGCAACGCGTGAGGCTGGTCACGTGGGCTTCCATGCAAAACATTGATCAACGGTTCTAAGCTCTTAGGGACTTTTGGCAAACCTTGGCAAGCACAGGAGGCAGACTCAAAACTGTTCGCATGGTGCCCAGCCCACATATTCCCAGGCGGGCTGAGGGCCGATCGACCCGAAGTGACGCTTCTAATCGGCCGAGAAGCCCCTAACGTCGCCTTTTTGGAGCCGGTCCCGAATGCCGCATCTTGTACCAGGTGGGAGTGGATGGTGAAAACTACACAGGCGCGTGATTCAGCTCACTCACTTCTCACACATTAGTCGAAAGTGTAGGGGATGCCAAATTTATCGACGTCGACTGAAGTTGCCGCGCCAGGTTAGTGGTCAGGCCACCAAAACATTCTCGACAAAAGACATCAAAGAATTAGTGCGCGAACGTTCGTCCGAGTAAACAGTTTCAGGTGCTCTGCGCGGACGTGAAGCACGCACATTCCAGCGCACTGATAAAAGCCGCTGGCGTGGGCTTCTCAAGGTTATCAGCTTTCATCGCCTTTGTTCGCCGTCATCTACGTGGGGATGAACGCTCGCGTCGGTCGACACCTTGTTCTCCCCATGCCCCGGAAGGCGCCTGACTGGTCCTGTGTGATTATGCGAGTGCATGGATATGTCAGGCTTGGACCGGACGCTGATCGGCTAGCTAAACCTTAGTACGCGATCGAGAACTCGCATCAGACCTTTTTTGGTATTGTGGTATGTAGTCTTCGTGGCGTAATTCCTTGATGACAACCTGTCCAGTGGAGTGTATGTTCACATCGAAGGTTATACTTTTCCGGCTTGTAGCGTTATGGTCGTCCAATTGTGTGTGTGTGTGTGTGTGTGTGTGTGTGGTGTGTGTGTGGGTGTGTGTGTGTGCGTGCGTGCGTGTGCGTGCGTGTGTGTGTGTGCGTGCGTGCGTGCGTGCGTGCGTGCGTGCGTGCGTGTGTGTGTATGTGTGTTGTTCGTGTAACTTCCTTTCGCATTTAATCGTCAGCATTATCACTTATGTGTTGCAATAGCAATGTCCAACAAAAGAAAACGGCTCACAGCTGTCATGCAGCCGTAACTTGCGAATGACTATCATGTCCGCCGACGCCACGCTTCGGAACGTACCTAGCTGTTTATCACTCATGTTGCTGATAAGGGCATCGCTTGTCCGTCGGCACCCGCGCACCACCTGCCTCTATGAGCGGATTCCTTGTGCCATTGCAGTATGTACGATAAACGCAAGTCAGCTTGGTGTTTGAGATAGTGATCGGCATTGTGCTTCCACCGCCACTAGACCCCGGGGTTGGGCGCGCGTGCCGTCGGCTCACGGCGCGACGCTCCCAACGCCACTAGACCCCCGGGGTTGGGCGTGCATGCTGTCGGCTCACGGCGTGGCGCTCACGCCACCACTAGACCCCCGGGGTCGGGCGTGCGTGCCGTCGGCTCACGGCGTGGCGCCCCCAACGCCACTATACCCCCGGGGTCAGGCGTGCGTGCCGTCGGCTCACGGTGCCACCGTCGTTCCAGCCAAGTTCGAGGACCGCGACTGCAATGTGCCGCAGCCGCAAGAGCTGCACCTGCTGGTGGCGCAGTCATACCCGATACGTGACTACCTGGCCATCGAGGCCATTCTACTGGAGTTCTTCGGGTAACTAGGGACCCTGACGCCGGGCCTGTTGGCGCTCGGCTAGCGCGCGAGACTTTCGTAACAAAGTAGCGCACGCAGCTTCCCCAAGCATCTAATGAAGAGAAGAACCAATGTTTGATACACAATCTTACGAACCAAGACCGCAAATGACGTAGCCATTAAGGACCATGCAATCAAAAGATAACCTAGGCAAAGAACAGTGATGCAACGGTGAACCAAAAATTGATAATTTATGTCGTCGTCACCTAACTGCGCACAGACCCCTCGTGTGTTGTGCACCAGCGGTGGCGGCGCGTGCCGTGCGGCCACCTGGCGGCACCCGTCACAACCTATCCTGACGCGCGTCCGGCCCGCGCCGCAGCTGGAACGTGTCGCTTGTGACGGTGGCGCACTTCGTCGAGTTCCTGGCGACGCGCGTGCTGAGCCACGGCGACATGGTGCTGGGCGCGCTGCATGAGGGGCCGGGGAGCGCGCTAACGCCGCCGCCGGCCGGCGCCGGGCACGAGCCGGCGCCGGCCGCCCTCCGCGCCGCCCTGCTCGGCTACCTGCACTACTTCATGGACGTGGCGCTGCAGGGTGAGTCGGGCTCGGCGCTGGCGACGGGAAAGCAATGTGCCGGCGCTGCGGCACATTGCTTTCGCTGGAAGACCCGTATGTACGTGAGCCTGCTTCCCTGAGGCGTGCCTCTGATCTGTACGCTGCACGCATGTCTGTTGACAATGCTTTAGCACGATTTCCTTCGTAAAGACCTCTCTACGCTTCTGCATGTCCTTAGATTTGTGCAATCTGCATAGACCAATGCATCGCGTGGCCGTGCACGCGTTCCGTATCGTTAAGGACGTGCATGTCTTGCATGCTGCAGTGGGTGGGCAGCGCTCTCCCTGCCTCGCATGCCGGGCTGGGCGGGTGGTGGGCGTGCCACCGCCGGTGGTGACGGGGTGCCGACCGGCCGTCAGACGAGCACTATGTGCTCTGCTACCCGCCGTCGCTGGTGGCGTCCGCCTGCGTGCTGGCGGCGCGCAGTCTGCTGGGCGTGTGGCCAGCCTGGCCGGCCGAGCTGGCCCGGCTCTCCGGCTACTCGGACGTCAGCCTGCTCACCTGCGTGCACGCGCTGCTCAGGTACCGCGCTGTCCCGCTCACACGCCTCTCCGAGATACGAGCCCTGCTTATACGCCCCTGTCGGAGATACGTGCCCGTCTACAGGCGCGGCTCGGGCACCGCCGGCACGAATGTCATGCCGGCCTTAGCGTCACGGCGGCCTGCCTGCCAGTCGTCTGCCAGGGCTGGAGACGCTGGCAGAGATCGCCGGTCACGCTCTCCTCCGTGACAAGAGCGATGTCACTGTACTGGCAGCGATCATACCAGCCGGCCTGGGGACGCGGAGCACTGACATCCCGCCATCTGCCCGCCCAGCCAGTCTCGTCACGTTCTGCCGATAGGGCGATGTACGCGGAAAGAGCGGGACGTCTGTCTGGAGGCCAATGCGGAGATGGGGAGTCCACACTGAGCGGTGCGTTCTGCCGACAGGACAATGTACGCGGACAGAGCGGACGTCTGTCTGGAGGCCGATGCGGAGATGGGGAGTCCATACTGAGCAATGCGTTCCGCCGACAGGGCGATGTACGCGGACAGGACGGACGTCTGTCTAGAGGCCGATGCGGAGATGGAGAGTCCACACTGAGCAGCGCGTTCTGCCCACAGGGCAATGTACGCGGACAGAGCGGACGTCTCTCTGGAGGCCGATGCGGAGATGGAGAGTCCACACTGAGCGGACCCCGCTGTTGGCCCGACATGCTCACGTCAACTACAATCGGCGCTCACCGATGCCGGAGAGGATCGTCTTTGCCAGGCTCCTTGTTGTGTTTGATGAGAATATTTATTAGTTGGTTGTCCGTTAACCAGATTTGTAATGAAACTGCTGTCGGTGGCATCCACCTCTGACTGCCGAGCTCGGCGCGGAGTTGTTGCGTGAAAGCGCTTAGCTTTACCGGAGTTCTGAAAGCCATAGGTCTCACGAGTTGCGCACCATGTATTATCATCGGACGCCTAACGTAGGCCGACAGAGCACGCACAATACACATCACAGTTGCTCCACCACTCCAGTCATTCGCCGGCTGCATCGGCTATTTACAAACCACTCTCGGACGCCAGCCTCCCTGCCATGGTCTCGCCGTGCAGCTGCGAGTACTCACGCGCAGCCGCGAGCGAGCGGCGGCGCAGGTCGGCCCCGACGGGCCGGCCGCGGGCGCTACTTTTTCTCCTCTTTGCGCGCTTGGAGCGCGTTCGCGGCCATGCCGCCGAGCAGGGCGACCACTGTGAAGCCCTGCGCCACCACGCGCAGACGCATCATGCGCTGTGAAGTCTGCCGCCGGCCCGCCTGGAAACTCCACAGGCCGAAACTGAGCGCCGAAGCCGTCAGCAAGCACCCTGCAACAACCGCGGCGCGCATTGCAGCTGGCTGGTACGTCTCCCGAAGGCCAGCAGGTGTCCGTGGGTTTGATTGCGTCATGACAAATTTGGTATGACATCACAGTGGTCACCGAACTGGCCGTGCGAAATTGGTACCCGTAGCAGACGGGTTGCGTCGAAAGGGTATTCTACTTATCGGTACGTTGTTTACAGAACCCAAATATCATTGTTGTGCAGGTATTTGGGCACTGTCTTGTGGTGTTCTTGCATATTTTCTGTGACTTGATATTAACTCGCATCCAGATACCTGGCTATGGCACTATTCTAAAGTTATTCATCCTCCAGTCTTTTTTCTGTCACCCTGTATCATCGTCCGACCTCCTATATCATGTAGCACGAGACGTGACTCGTGTTCGAGATGCAAATAACCAATGAAGTTCACGTCTGTTAAAACCTAATAATTAACAACTTGTGACTGAAACTTGCACAGAACATATTACATTGAATAGAGGCCATTTGAAGTCTGTCAATGTCATAAATTGTGCTGATGCACACTGCACACAACACACATCTTTATGATCATATTTTCCCTGGCCTTGAGCACCATGCAGCTAATGAGGTGGCAGTATTTGCCAGCACAAGCCATTACTGCCTGAACCCTCACAATGGTGGTGGTCTGCACAAATTTCACCATGACTTGCACCAAACTATCCCAGCCCCAGGTATCTTTGGACTGGAAGGGGCTGGGGTAGAATGAGGTGCCATTTTATAGATTAGCCCCATGCTTAGCCCCAGGTCCCAGGCTTTACTGAAGGTATTTTGGCATCTGCAGATACTGTCAGGACCTTATCAGGTCATATCACCTGTCTCACTTTCTTGCCCTTAGCCTAAAGCACTCCTTTGATCAAAAAGTTATTATCCATGCATTGTG